CTTGGGTTGGGCTCACATTGTAACCCTGAGCACAGGGGTTCCTGAACTCTCTGCTCTTAGCCCATCAGGGAATGGACAAAGGAGAAGCTTCAGAAATTGGACAGAAAGTAGCCTAAGAAAGTGTAGCATAAGTGAGAAGAAAAACAATGTCTTCACCTCCCTGGTGGTCTAGTGGTTAGGATGTGGCACTGCCACTGCCTGGGTTCAATTCCCAGTCAGGGAAAAGTGTCTTTATGTGAAAAAAACTTCAGTTATTCACTTGCAATTTAAACAAATCCATGTTTTTTTCCTGATTCACCCATCTTCTACATGATGTTGGGAAGGGCTTGGGAGACCATATGAAAATCAGTTTCCCACTGACTAGTAGCAGAATGTGGGCATGTTTCAACTGTGCACCTCAAAGTCCAGGCTGCATGCCCTTTTACACAAATGGACATGTGCAAATTATTTTTTCCCCTTGCTAGCTAGCCTAACCAACCTTATAATAACAATAATAGACATTCAGGTTGACCCAAGATGAATATTTTTTCCAATTTTCTTGCTGAAACAAAACCAAAAAATCATTTTGGGTTAACCAAAATATTTCAGCAAATAAAATATTCATCCAAAAAACTTTCATCCCACTCTATATACAAGTCTTTGGAAGTAACCATCCCTGAGAAAGTGACCATTAGCCTCTTCCATTCCTGAAGTCTAGCTGCTGAAGTGCTCTAAGCATAGACGATGGGCCTTTCACCTGTTGACCACTGGTTACTACCTTGCTCAGGTAGCTACTGATGAAAGGAAATGTGGTGTAGTGGCAGATCTACTTCTATCCCTCTACCCAACTAGGGATGTTTGTTTAACATTGCATATAAAAATACAATAAATGCATTTTGTTGATACCTAAAATTGGGAAACATTGTGACTGTAAGTCAATGAGAAAATCTCTGCTGAATTCTGCAGAAGGAAGGTTTTCTCATCAGGTTCTAGCACATGATAAAAGTTCTGAAGGTTCTTAGAGCTTCCAGACACATGGGCTAGAACTTTCAGAAGGTCTCACACCCACCCCTAGATCCAGATTTTCAGAAGAACTCAGCTCCCACTTAGGCAACAAAAATTTTGGCCAGGTTTTCAGAAAGGCTGAACACACTGAGGGTTGAGCTATTTTGAAAACAAAAGGTGGTAGAAGTTGTGGGTGCTGGTTGCTTGGCCATCTGGCCCACAATGCAGGAGTTTGAGGTTCAACATTGCTTTCTCAGAATGCTAGCAACCATCTCTTACTCTCTTAAAAAGTGAGCAGGGAGACTACATATAAAAATCAGCTCTGCTTCAGAAGGTGTCTAGAAGTTGAAAGAGATGTGCCATCTCTGCCTCCCTGAAGAGTTCATAACAAGGTAAAGAAAACTAAGATTGATAAATCACTTAACTAACCGCATCAGGCTGGCTGCATGGTCTAACACAACAGCTACAAGGTTGTGTCTTTCTGTCATTTGTTGTTCTGGGCTCCATATGGAGGCATGCGTTCAAATTCCCCTCCTGACACAATCATTGTCTTCTACCTGAAGAAATAGCCTAATTTCAACCTCTCCTGTAACATTACAACACCAACTTGTCACGGAGTATGGGGGGACTCAGGGCCCTGCACCCCCGGCGTCCTGCGATTCACCATGACTCTCAGCCAGCCAGTAAAGCAGAAGGTTTATTTAGATGACAGGAATACAGTCCAAGACAGGCCTTGCAGGCACAGACAACAGGATACCCCACAGTTAGGTCCATCTTGGGGTCCTTGGGCACCTCCTGGGGTCAGAGCCCTCCCTGCCTTCCAGCCACCTCACCAGCCAGCTTCCCAGACTCCCCCTTCAGCGACCCCTCCCACAGCCTTTGTTCAGTCTCCCGGGCAAAGGTGTCACCTGGTCCCAGCCCCCTCCTGGGTTCTCATGTTACAGGCTCAGGTATTTTCAGTCAGTCTCCCATCCCCCAATGCCGGCTATCCCAGCCACACTCCCCTGTCAGCATTCACAGACCACAGTAAGAACAGACCCAGTTCGTCACGTCTCCACCCTTCGAGACCGAACTGAGCGGGGTCACTTTAGCCAGTGACCCGGGGAAGTTCGAACCTACCCCCGTTCCCATGGATGCCCCCGCATCCCTCCCATTCCTTGGTGAGAATTACACCAGGCCCCTCCAGTTTCACGCCCCCCCTTAGGTCGGGGGTGTTCGAGGGCATTCGTAGTTCGCATGTGGGAAGGTTTATGCGGCCTGTGCCCTTTTCCCACCCCAATACCCCTGGGGTGCCAACTGGGCTGTGGTCTTCCCCCAGCGCTCCAGTCTGGAGGTCTGTGCTTCGGGCTCTCTTGGTTCAGAGCCCCCCTTTTAACCTTGGCCACCCTCTGGAAAGGCTCCTCTATGCTGGGCAAGGGTCCTAAAGCCGTTTTCCCCTTGTCCCGGGCCTTCCTCCCCCTCTGACAGGAGTCACAGGATCGGCAGTACTGCCGGACAGTAACAAAGACCCCAGGCCAGTAAAAGCTCCGTAGCAGCCTCTGCTGGGTACGCCAGGTTCCCTGGTGCCCTGAGAGGGGAATGTCATGGGCCCGGTACAGCAGCTGGCGGCGATACTTCTGGGGTACCACCAGCTGCCTCCTGATCCCCCCTGACTCCATTTTCCCTGGGGGAGCCTATTCTCGGTACAGGAACCCCTTCTCCCACAGGAACCTTTTCCGGCCACCTCTCCCCATGGTCTGTACCGCACTGAGGTCGGCCAGGTCCCTTATCTTCCGCAAGGAGGGATCTTTCTGCACCTCGGCCTGGAACTCACCAGCTGGGACAGGGATGGCCACCTGCTCTCTCTCGCTGGCTGGGTCTGAAGCCGCAGCCTCCCTGAGCCGTGTCCCTAGGTGTTCTCTCCCCACCAGGTTAGGGTCCTGCGCCTCGGGCAAGGCACCCTCCCCAAGGTCAGGGCGCAGTGCTCCTCGCCGGCTCTGACTGCGGGTCACAACCAGTGCATTCTGGGGGTTGCTTGGCCAGTCCTCCAGGTCCCCCCCCATCAACACCTCAGTGGGCAAATACGGGTGTACCCCCACATCCTTGGGGCCCTCCTTGGGCCCCCACTTCAGGCGTACCCTTGCCACAGGTACCTTGAATGGGGTCCCACCCACCCCCGTCAGAGTCAGGAAGGTGTTGGGCACCATCCGATCTGAAGCCACCACCTCGGGCCGGACCAGTGTCACCTCTGCACCCGTATCCCAGTATCCATCGACCTTCCTCCCATCCACCTCCAGGGGAACAAGGTACTCTCTCCGGAGGGACCGCCCCGCGCCCACCGTATAAACCAAAAACCCTGAGTCTAGAGCATCCAGCCCCCCAGAGGAGCTGGCCTGGAGCTCTCCTTCCTCCTTAGCAGATGGTATTCTGCCAGCCCCCCTTCCCTGGGAGTGCCTCCTCTCGCCCGGCTGGGTCTCTACCCAGTCAACCCTCTGTGGGTCTGGTCTGCTCAGTCTGTCCCTGAGTCTGGGGCACTGGGCCCGTATGTGACCTCTCTGGTCACAGTGATAGCAGACCATGTCCCATGTGTCCCCTCGAGCTGGTCGGTTGTCCCTGACCCTGGGCATTCCCCATGGGAGGGGATTCCCCACATTCCCCTTTTGGGAGGTACCCGGGTGACTCTCTCTCTGCATCGCAGCGGGCCTGCTCCTTTGGGACTCCTCCCTGCCAGCCCCTGACCGGCTCTTCACAAACTCATCGGCCAGCCGGCCTGCATGTCGCGGGTTCTCTGGTTTTTTGTCCACCAACCACAGCCTCAGGTCGGATGGGCACCGCTCATACAGTTGCTCCAATACCAGCAGTTTAACCAGGTCCTCCTTCGTCCGGGCCCCATCTGCCCACTTGCTGGCGTATCCCTCCATGCGGACGGCTAGTTGCAGATATGAGATCTCAGGGGTTTTATCCTGACTCCGGAACCTTTCCCGGTACATCTCAGGAGTCAGCCCAAACTCACGTAGCAGGGCCTTTTTGAATAGTTCGTAGTCCCCTTTCTCCACCTCGTCCAGTTGGCGGTACAATGCCACGGATTTGGGGTCCAGTAAGGGGGTGAGAACCCGGAGTCTGTCCGCAGGATCAACCTGGTGTAGCTCGCAGGCCGTCTCAAAGGCATCCAGGAAGTCATCCATGTCCTCCCCCTCCTTACGTGGGGCCAGGATGCACTTATCAAAGCTCTGTGCAGTCCTGGGTTCCCCCTCACTCACCGCAGCCGGGGTCACCCGGCCCTTCAGCCTCGCCCGTTCCAGTTCATGATGCCTCTGTCTCTCATTCTCCTCCTGTTCATGATGCCTCTGTCTCTCTTCATGCTGTCTCTGTTGTTCACGATCCTCCAGCTCTCTCAGTTTTAGCTCTATCTCCCATCCCAGCCCATTCCGCTCCACGGATGCCGCGCGTGGCCGGGAGGATCCCCTGCTGGCCGGCGAGCATTGCCGGGAGGATCCCCTGCTGGCCGGGGGGTCACTGCGCCCTCGGTATTTGCTGGGCTCCTCCCCACCCTTCCCCTAGGCATAGGAAGGAGGGGTCTCGGGAAGCCCTCAGCAGCCGGCTGACCACTCCCAGCTGGGACAGACACTGGGACCTGCGCTGCATTTGCCAGGCTGCTTCCCTCAGAGACAGGGATCAGTTCATTTGCGCGATCTCCCTTCTCCAGCTGGGCAATGAGCTGTTCTTTGGTGAGCCTCCCATTGCGCACCCCCCTCTGCTTGCACAGCTCCACCAGGTCGCTCTTAAGCCGCTTGGCATACATCTTCCTGCTGGCCACTCACAGGCCTGTGTGCTCACCGCTCCCCACAGTTTCCAGGGAGACCCCTAGTGTGCCAGCCCTTCTCGAGGTCACCACCTCTCTGCCAGGGTCGAGCTGCAGACTCCTCCGCCCCTGGGACCACTCGCTGCGATCCCCCGGGGGACCCTGTTACTGCAAAAGTCCTTCTCGCTGGTCACACACTCCCAGGGGTGATAACCGTCTCTCTCTGACTCTTCAGCACGCCTGGTCCCCGTCAATCCCCCTTCGTTTTACTTCTCCCCAGTCACTTACTGCAGGAAGCGCCGTCCACGGGGTGCAGTAGATCCCACCCCTGCCACCAGTTGTCACGGAGCATGGGGGGACTCAGAGCCCTGCACCCCCGGCATCCTGCGATTCACCATGACTCTCAGCCAGCCAGTAAAGCAGAAGGTTTATTTAGATGACAGGAATACAGTCCAAGACAGGCCTTGCAGGCACAGACAACAGGATACCCCACAGTTAGGTCCATCTTGGGGTCCTTGGGCACCCCAGCCCACCTCCTGGGGTCAGAGCCCTCCCTGCCTTCCAGCCACCTCACCAGCCAGCTTCCCAGACTCCCCCTTCAGCGACCCCTCCCACAGCCTTTGTTCAGTCTCCCGGGCAAAGGTGTCACCTGGTCCCAGCCCCCTCCTGGGTTCTCATGTTACAGGCTCAGGTATTTTCAGTCAGTCTCCCATCCCCCAATGCCGGCTATCCCAGCCACACTCCCCTGTCAGCATTCACAGACCACAGTAAGAACAGACCCAGTTCGTCACACAACTACTTAGCATTTGTATGAGAGAAGTTGGAGAGAATTCAAACAACTTCAAAAGTAGTGCATTCAGGGCATCTAGCTGGGTAAATTCCAAGCTCTATATCCAGAAGAGTCTTGGCATGGCTTGAGGGGAGGCAGGCTTGGCAGTTCAATATACAGGTGGAGGGAGAAGGGTACAGTACATTGACAGTGTAGAATGTGAGACTCATAAGCTGTGGTTATGTGCTCTGAGAGTTATCCCCTTGCTTTCCATTTAAGGTCAGGGAGGGATATTATACCCAAGTGTTCTGGCAAAACTTTCCCCCCGGCCTGGTCAGTGAATCCTATGGTGAGAAACTTTCCGTGTATTTCACTGCATTTCAGTTTCTTGTATTATTGAATGGGGCCTGAGGTGCTGGAAGGGAAATGTTCATGGAAAACTTGGACATTGCTGTTCTCTGAAAAAAGGCAGGTACTATTTAGACACTATTGCTTCTCGTATTCCTGTGGAATCCGAGTCAAACTGAAGAATTCCTGTCTATCCTAGAGAATCATTCCATTGTAAATACAAATGAAATGACATCTGCAGATCGAGTCAGCACCTTTTAAAAATATTTACTGAGAATATTCTTTGCCATGTTGATAAGGACAAGCAGCCCTCTTTTCCTTTCAATTTGAAAGGCGAAATGAATGGAGCTTCTCATTGAAAAACTTCTATTTTCTAGGGGGAATTGAACCCAGGCTATGGCTGTTAAAACACCAAAACCTTCTGCTTAAAGCACCAGGTAGGGCTGTTTTTTTCTGACAGCCAGTGTTGTTTTTCTCAGCCTCCTACTTCACCAATGTCAGATGCTGGTGCATTCTCCATTGCCCTGAAGGGACAAGAACAGAGAGTGAACGATCTCCTGTGCTCAGTGTCACAAGCTGAGCCCCAAAAATGGACAGCAGGGTGTCACAAACTCAAATTATGCTTCCGGTTCCTCCATCAGCATCACAGGAGCAAAATAAAAAATCACCAGAGGAGCAATTCTCCTCTGCTTTCATTTACCCCAGTGCAATCCTCTTCACTTCTTCTGTTTATAATCTGGGGGCTCTGTCAGGGGAAAAATCATCGAGCGGACAGTATTTCTGGGATAGAAACCCAGAGAGGGTTTGATGTCACCTGATGGGATGCTGATTCATTATAACAGGTCCCTTGGCTTTAGCTGCCCCCAGTGTAGCTCTCATTTTGTCAGCTCTGCGCTCTCAGGAAGCCGACAAAGTGCTGAACCCTGCTTCTCTTGGGCCACCAGGAGCCTGGGGATTGCACACCAGCTGCAAGCCCTTCTGTCCTCTCCTTGTCCTCCTTGGCTACCCCAGACCCTTTCCCACAAATGGTTTCATCAGATGCTAGAGGGACCTAAGGACCTACAGGTTTCCCTCACCCACCTCTTAAGGCAAACAGTGTTTCCTTTCTCTGACACTCCTGGGGCCACATTTCCTTTGAGGAGCTTCTCCCCAGGTGGTCTGATATCCTGCAAAAATGTGTGTGTGGCTTGGGGGGAACCGGCTTATCTGTCCCATCTCTAAAAACTGAGAAGCTTTTTCTGACTCTCCCCCACTATATGAGTCAACATCATCTCCCCCTGGTGGGAGAATATTAACTTCTACCCTCCCATGCTATTTTCTCTGATGAGCTGGTAAATCAACCCCAGCTCTTGGGTCTAGAAACCAGCTTCTAACCAGCTTTCTAATAGCCCCTGTTTGCTAGCTGGAGAGCAAAGGAACAAAGACAGAAGGCAAATGTCAGAAAAGGAATCTCAACTTGCAAAGAAGCAGCCTTAGGGCTCCTTCTACACTGTGATTGTGCCTTTGAAAAGGCATTATAGACAACTGGCTAGCTCAGTCAGTAGAGTATGAGACCTTTTAATCTCAGGGTTGTGGGTTTGAGCTCCACATTGGGTACTTGATCTTGCTGCCTTAAGCGTGCTTTTTTGTGTATATGATGAGCCCAAAATGAAATGCACTCTCTTGCCTCTCAACGATCTTATGCAGAAAAAGTCTCTTCCTGTTAGTTTAGATAGAACAGGAAGAGAGAACAAACTAACATTTCCCTCTATTCAAGGGACACCATCATAGGACCTAACCACATCAGCCACATCATCAGAGGCTCGTTCACCTGCACATCTACTAATGTGATATATGACATCATGTACCAGCAATGCCCCTCTGCCATATACATTGGACAAACCGAACAGTCACTATGCAAAAGAATAAATGGACACAAATCAGACATGGAGAATTGTAACATTCAAAAACCAGTAGGAGAGCACTTCAATCTCCCTAGACACTCAATAATAGACTTAAAAGTGGCCATTCTTCAACAAAAAAACCTTCAAAAACAGACTTCAATAAGAAACTGCAGAACTGGAATTAATTTGCAAACTGGACACCATCAAATTAGGCCTAAATAAAGACTGGGATTGGATGGTTCACTACAAAAAATAATTTCCCCTCTGTCAACTGTTGGGAATGGGCCACATCCACCATGATTGAATTGGCCTCATTAGCACTACAAAAAGTAATTTCCCCTCTTTTGCTATTTACCCCTTCTTGTCAACTGTTGGAAATGGGCCACATCCACCCTAATTGAATTGGCCTCATTAGCACTGTCCCCCCCAGTCTGTAAGGCAACTTCCATCTTTTCATGTGCTGATTATTTGTACCTGCCTACTGTATTTTCCACTCCATGCATCTGATAAAGTGGGTTTTAGTCCATGAAAGCTTATGCCCAAATAAATTTGTCAGTCTCTAAGGTGTGTTGTGGAAAAAATGACCACGCGTTGTGTTTGGATCAGAATCGCCTGAGGCCTTTTTATTTTCATGCATGCATGGGGGGTACCAGTAAACTAGCAATCCCCCTGATTACAGAATTTCACACAGCTTATATAGCATAAAACCACAATTATGTAATACATACTTTCTTATCAGCATTATTGCCATATTTGGAATACACTCTCCATAAAAGGAATATAGCTTAGCAAGCTTTCCTGTTTTTTTACAGTCTATCCTACTGCGATTTCCAGACTTCCCCCAAAACCGTTAATTCAGCATTATGAATCATAAGCCTTATAATTATAGATAGTTCTGCTTTTATACTTTTCCTCTATTCTGCCTCTAAAAACCTTTCACCTACAATAGACTTAACTAATGTTCAGGTCTGAACCAAAGTTCAGGCCCGAGCCAACTAAAGTTTAGGCCCTAGCAAACTTTTTCCTCCACAGGTGCCACACGTACTCCTCGTTTTTTTAAGGAAATAATGTTATTTCAAAAGGGAAAAGTGGTGCTGTGTGTTGAAAGGCTGGCTTAGACATTTCTTATTGTGATTTTCTGATTCCTCATACCCAGACCCTGCCTAGACAGGAAAGGAGGGGCATGTGATCATCAGTCAATACTAGATTTATCTGACATGAAAAGGGGACCTGAGGCTGTTTGTAGTTAGCTCAAAAAAAGAAAAAGGCAAGGGGAAAACTGCTGGCTGGGAGCTAAATATGCAGGACAAAGGGTTGGGATTCTTCTATGCTCAGATGTGTTAAGTAGCTGGTAATCTCCCAAATGATGGTCTGTTCCTTCCATCAAAATGCAGGCTAACCCCCTCCTTTAGATGTTAAAGTTTTCATATTGTTTTTGTAGCTGAAGTTATGAATACTGGCTCTATACTGTCTGTATTTCAAACTTATGCTCTGCTTCTGGGTGAGACACCCCAGCCAAATCGGTGTCAGCTCTGCCTAGCCTGCTTGATGGCCCATTAAGCACCATCAGCTATACAATTGACCCATTGGGAGAAGGCAGACACACCTTGTGACTCAGCAATGTATGCAAGAACTGGCCCATGTGACTCCAGATTCCATTTTGCTGTAATTTTCCACAGTAAGAACAAAGAGGTGTTCTTACACCAGGAAAAGACTATAAAAGGCTGATGCCTCATCTCCATCTTGTCTTTAATCCTGCTTCTTATCTCTGGAGAGACTTTGCTACAAACTGAAGCTTTGGACAAAGGACTGAAGGACCCATCTCAGCTGTGGATGTACTCCAGAGACTTGATTTGAACATGCAGTTTACTCTATCACTGCTACAAGCCTGAACCAAGAACTTTGCCATTACTGTATGTAATTGATTCCATTTAACCAATTCTATCTGTCATCTATATCTTTTACCTTTTATGAATAAACCTTTATATTTTAGATTCTAAAGGATTGGAAACAGCATGATTTGTGGGTAAGATCTGGTTTGTATATTGACCTAGGTCTGGGGGGCTTGGTCCTTTGGGATTGGGAGAATCTTTTTTCTTTTACTGGGGCATTGGTTTTCATAACCATTCATCCCCATAACGAGTGGCACTGGTGGTGATACTGGGAAACTGGAGTGTCTAAGGGAATTGCTTGTGTGACTTGTGATTAGCCAGTGGGGTAAAACCAAAGTCCTCTCGGTTTGG